TGCGAGGTAACTTAACCTCAAGCTCTTTCAGCTTGTGGCTACAGATTGTTCCATCTAAAGTTACTGATAGTGAAGACTCAGGACTCAAAGGCGACACGCAAAAAAACAATCATGGGTTTGAAAATGCCGAGTTATTCTTTGGGTTTATAGATTAAACCAGGTGTCCACAGGACAAAGAAGGAAGTGGGTCAATGGTTGTGCTGATATAAAAGCACGTTCACATAAACACACCACAGGGAACACACTGTACATGTTGCACTGGGTTACTATCATGTGAAGACACTGTCACCTGAAAACTCTGTCCCTCCCCCGGGCAGATGCAGGTGTCCTGTCCAGAGAGAGGCTGCTGAGCCACAGGACCACACAGCAGGGAGGTGGACAACCCTGGTCTAGGACAGTAGTGGTGAGGGGGACACTGCAGACAGCTGTCTAGAGACACAGCATCAGCAGTCTGCCCGTAGGTTCCCTTAGGACAGGGGAGTGGTGTGGAGTTCTCCGCTGGGCAGTAGAAACCTAACAGAAACAATAATGGGGGCATCCTGATGGTGGTGACACATCCCATCTCCCCATCACTTCCCCTTCCTGTCCATCTAACATTTACTCCATTCACCAACTTTTTACTTCATTTCATTTTACACGCTGCACAGAGAAGATGCTTCTCGCCCGGTACAAAGGCTGCCATCTTACGCATGTGGAAAAAAAAGAAAGAAAGAAAAGAAAAGAAAAATATCACGGATTTGGAGCCAGAGTTTACGCAGTAGAGAGCTGTCAATCATGACATTTCACCCCATATTTATAGTATCGAATAAGTCATTCAAACCAAACTTACAAGAAAAATGAACATCTAAACATAGTTCAGTGTTATAAGACTACTACTCAATTCAATTTCCCCTTTTATTTATTCAATATTGTCTATAGCTTTTAAAACCTGCACAGTATTTGATTGTCTTTTTTTGACTCACCAGTCAATTCTGAAGCATATAAATACATATAAAAATGTACTGATTCATTTCAAGAGGCTTCACTCAAACATTTACAGTATGAGTCAGTAGCTGGTGGAGTGTAATTTTTTAGTATCACCTCTATGGGTTAAATCTACACCATATTGAAAGCAGGGGAATATATGCAGACCATTTTTGTCATTATATATATATGAAATATTATAGTCTACCTGGCTTGCAGGGCCTCTCCTGGTTATGTTGACTGAAGTTGTTTCCATGAGCCAGAGTTTGCAGCACAGAAGCAAACATCCACCACCAACAACTGAAACTGTTGCATCTGCAAGTCCTTTGCATTATTATGTTGTCCACCTGCTGAAGTACAGGGCAGGTGAGTGAGACACAGAGCTCTATGTCAAATTGAAGGAGAAACCATATCATCCAGGATCTTTAAACAGTCTCTTTGTTTTGGCCATAGCCAGGAAAGTATGGAGATGCTGAATCTAATTGAGTACCTTGATAAACCTTCTCCAGTCCTGCTGTAGTTGTGCACACATAACCCGATGTGCCTGTTGGTAGACTCTAAGAAGCAGGCTTGTTAGTCTGCACAACTTTCAATGGAGCGCTGAATGATTTATGAGTCCTGTGAGGTAAGGTGACAGTGACTGTGAGTGGGACTGGTCACTGGTGGAGAGCAGCAGTGAAAGCAGAGAGTATGGTCGCCTGGTGCTGCCGGATCACATTGCAGCATTTGTTCTTCTCAATTCTACCATGAAACTGATTAATGATTTGGCTTTCAAGTGTACATCAACACAGCTTTGCTTGAGAGGAGACTATCAGGACTGTGTGCGTCACACACAGAGACTGACTCAGATATCTGCTCTGATATAGTCCCTGTGTTTATGTGAGGCATACCTGCAACTTTCCAATCCACTTGTGAATGAACCAGTTTGATGAACACATACTGAATACTGTTGTGCATTTGTGTTTACTTATTGATTCTAGCTTGCAATCCGGCAGAAAGCAAAATAAAATACTGCCGGTGATTGAGGGGCCCACAACCTGTGAGCTGCTCTGACTCATAAAAACCTATTTAAAAGTATTTATATATTATTATAAAGATAAAAGTGTTAGCTTTAGCTCCACATTGAAATGAAACAGGGGAGCTAGTTCTATTCTCATAAGATGTCAAATGTTATGAGCCATCCAGTCATGCCCATTAAGAGTTAAACTTATATCTTCTTCAGTGTTTATCACAGTCTTCTGTGAGCACACACAGTATGTTATTGTATGTGAACTGTTCAACGGTCGAGCATTAACCATCTCTGTCTTTATGTAATAATAATAATAATAATAATAATAATAATAACTTTATTTGTATAGCACTTATGTAAACAAGGTTACAAAGTGCTTCACAAAAAACAATCCATGGCAAAAATATGTACAGTAACCAATGACTCACTCACTCAACACTGTTATTGTATTGAAATGAATGTTGGACTTTGGATAACTGGAATAACCTACATATTTCTTCATGGCAGCCATGAACTATGATCCTGCATTGACGACTGGCACCTTACCTAATCAGAGAGTTCAACTTTCACACATATCCATGTCATTGGTTGGAGTAAAAAAACGTCCACATTTACAAATGCAAAACAGCATTATTAGATTATTAATAACAATTATAATTAATTATATAAGAAGAAGATTGGAATTGGGTAGCTGTCGTATAACCAGCTATGAAATAATTACATGAAAAAAAAAATTATACATTAACATGCACTCAAATATGCAGCTTAAGTTTTCATGTAAATTGTTATTCTTTGTTTTTTTCAAGGAAAAAAAAGTTTAAAAGTTTAGTATAATCAACAGTTTTTGACCATGGCTGGTTTGACCTGTTCTGCTCTGACAGCACAAACACTGTGTAAACTGTTGATTTCCAAGCATCCAAAACAAGCAATGATAATCAAAACTCGATGAGATGATCCAAAACTGAATACGTACTCCTCATCTTGCAATAAAAAGCCACAACAGTGACCAGGTGACCCAATTATAAAAAAATCATATAATTGTGGTGCCTGGAAAAGTGGGGCTTTGATGGTTAAAGGGCAGAAATCCAAATACCAAATGTCTTATGCACATTGTGAGCATACATACGTAGACAGCATTCTCTTCTACTTGCAGCATTTTTTTTACTGTTGCTCTATGACACTGGTTATCATGGTACTTTCTCCCTTTGAAACTTTATCTCAAAAAATTGCTGTTAGGTTTTACAAGTGTTCAGCAGTGTGTGTGTGTGTGTGTGTGTGTGTGTGTGTGTGTGTGTGTGTGTGTGTGTTGTGTCCTGTCATCAGTGTGACCCTCCACGTGTTGACTGTTGACACAGGCAGAGTTTGGGCAGCCGCTCTGATAACAAGGACCTTTATAAGTCAGACGAAAGGAGACTTCTCCCTGCAGATCTCTGATCGTCAGGTGACGACCAGACACTCGTTCACATATTGATCTTCTCGTCTGAGGCTGAGAAAGCGACTTTTCAGTATTCAGTAGCTTGTTTGTTCTAGTGTGAAAATTCTTGTGTATTTCTCTCCATAGAAATATAAAAATGCATCGAAAAGCTGTGATCTTCACCCTGTCATTCTTGACAATTTCAGGTATATATTAGTCATCAAATGTTATTTCATATGCTTTACTTTGAAGTGATTTAAAAACTCGTATTGTTTGTGTATAGCGTACCCACTGCACCGTGACACCAGGGAAGCAACCTTGACTGATTCGAAATCAAACCAGGCTCATGACAAGACAAACCTCACAAAGGATGTGGAGTAAGTTGATCAAATGTACCGTTTCAAAATCTGAAATGACTGTGTCCATTTTCTAGACATGTTTCCTTTTGTCTTTACAAAGTAATCTCTACAAAAGTCACCTGGACAGCAGCAGCCTTTACAACCAGGAGGATGACCACAACACAAACCCTATGGCAGAGGAGATGCAGCGCAAACTCATCATGGAGTCAGAGCGTCTGCGTACTCGTCTGCGCCAAGAGTTGGCCGAGCTGCAGGAGAGGTTGTCCCCATCTCCAGACCACCTCAGCTCCCCCCTGGCCAGCATGAGGGAGCTCCTGGCTCCTCTCACCCAGCAGCTCCACAGCTCCATCAGTAGCAACACCCAAGAGCTGTGCGGCCAGCTGAGCCTCTACTTGCAGGACCTGGATACGGCAGATGCCCAGACAGAGGCCAGCAGTGCGGATCGCCATCAGGAAGCCTTCCACTTGATGACACAAGCCCTGGACCGCAGCAGTTCTAAGCTGGCCAATGTCATCACTGACCTCCATAGTAAAACTGCTGAGGTGATTGGACGTTTCACAGAGATCACTGCTAACGAGGAGGACGCAGCCAGGTCAGACGTCTGGCAGGTGTTGAGCTCCAGGTTGGGACAGGAAGTGAGTTCACTGAGGGTGGAGACACAGATCATGGTGGGGGCTCTTAAAGAAGAGCTCGCTGCTCTGCTGGAAACCTCAGAACCTTCTAGAGCTGAAGTGACAGCCAGTGTGGAGCGGTTCTGCCAGAAGGCTGCCTCGGTGAGCCAAGTGTTTCAGATCCAGATGGAGAAGTTGTTTCAGGAGCTGGAGGAGCAGAGATCCTCCAGCCTGTCTCCCTCCTCTTCCTCCTCCTCCTCCTCCTCCTCGTCCACGCACCCTGCTGGCTTTCTGCAGGAGGACTTCTCTGTTAAACTCTCGGCTCTGATCCACGACATTGTGCACTCTGTTGTGACAGACCCCTGAGCATTATTATTTAAATATTAGTTAACATGGTCCATTTCAAATGATTCTTGTACATGATTTTTGTTTTTGTTTGTCACTGTACCAGCCAAGTAAGTAGCATGTAAATATTTATGAATGTATGGATGTGATTGATGTATATGTTTCATTCTGGATGTGAAGTAGTGTGTCAGTTTGTGTTTACTGTACCAAGTGAGAAGATGCTGTGTGTGGAGTGTAAAGTTATTGCTGATACAAATTACCTATTGTTATTTTTTAAATTAAACAATCAACCACTGAGTGTAAAATGAACTGAATGTAACCTTTATTTCAAAATTTTACAAATAATATATTCAATAATCAATTTTGCATGTAAGCAACGCAGTCAAAATCCTGTCCAAGATTCCCAAAGACATTTATACAGTTGAAGAAAAAAACAGTTTGCAAACTCAAAGAAATTATCAAATCTATACTGTTATAAAATATAAAAATAACTGTACTTTAGTTCCGTCCATTGTAAAGTTTAAGGTTTTTACACATAGTTCAGGCTTAACTCTTCCTTCATTATCAGTAAACAGCTATTGAATGCAGATGCAGTGAGTATAAAAAGAAACCTGAGTATTAAATTGTTATATTCATCTGACAATGACATGTGGTTATTAGTTAAAAATCACAATCAGCGCATTATGAGGTTTGAGGTGACAAGGCAAAGACAATTTGCTGGTCAATCTGTCAATCGAAGGCACATAATCCTCCCGCCCAGTAAAATTTCTTCAGGACAAACCAGCCGCCCAGAACCAGCAGAGCAGCAGCCGCTGAGCCAAACACCACCCCGACCACCAGGCCCGTCACGTCCACGTCATCCTTCTCTGATGCCATGTCATTACCTGACGCAGACAGGGAGGGTTAATGGAAAGTAAACCAAATATTTCAACATGGATGTATGATGGGAATCAAGCGTACTCACTGTAGGCCGCTGCATATGGCCTGCCTTTGGAGGGGGAAGATGAGAGTCATGGAAAAGGGTTATATTGGTGCTATTGTTCAATAATCCTAGAATATTTTTAAATAAAATATAATATATATATATATAAACAGCTCATACCTTCTGGAGCAGTGTAAAGAGGTCCGACTGAAACAGTGGCCGATTCGCTGCTTTCTTTTCCAAAAGGAGTCACAGATCTTTTTCTTCTGTTGTTGCAGGCCTGAAAAACAACAAGTTATGTTTATGTCACATAGTTTAAAACTGTACATTTTAAGTTTTAAGTAATCCATCCATCCAATATCTATACCGTTCATCCTTTGAGGGTTGCGGGAGCTAGAGCCAGTCCCAGCTGACATTGGACGAGGGGTGGGGTACACTTTGGACAGGTTGCCAGCATATGGCAGGTAATTGGCCTGTATTTATTTTATTGCACATTTCTAGTCTTGATAATCACTCAAAGCGCTTCATAGTACAGTTTTGCCATTAAACCATTCACACACATTCTATGTGCATGACTTTCTGTATCACACATCACAGCAGAGCCATCAGGGGCAATTTTGGGTTTAGAGTCTTGCCCAGGGACACCTCAGCCAGGCATTAAACCACTGTTATTCCGGTTATTGGATGACCCGTTCTACCTTCTGAGCCAAAGCCACTGGGTCAACATGCAGAGACAAACAATCATTTACACTCAGTTTTGAGTTTCCAGTTAACCCAAACACAATCAGCATGTGTTTGGGCTGTGAGAGAGAGCAAGAGCATCTGGAGAACAGATGCACACACACACACAAACAGGGAGAACATGCCAGGATTTGAACATGGACCCTTCAACTCTCAAAATTTAAGTATTTTTTTTAAATAGTGTTCTTGAGTCAACTTACAGACACCAGCGCTTGACATTTGCTGGGCTCACAGAGTCTCAGTATGCAGTGCAGATAGATGCTGGACTTTGCCTGGTCCCGGTGCTGTACGAAGCGGAAGGCCTCAAAGTTGAACCTGGCAACCTTGGAAAGACCATTGTCTGTCACGGACGTCCTCTGGTCCACTGAACAGCTGGTGGAGAGAAGATTTACTCCGTTTATATTTCAAAACAACCATTCGAAAGCCGTATTTGTGCTGATGGTGTGTGCTTCTGTACCCGACGAAGAAGTTGTGCTGCTCGCTGTGCGACATGTTGTAAGCAGTGGGAGTACTGAAGCAGTGATCCAGCAGGACATGGAAACTGAAAACAGGACAGTGAGCCAATGATGTACTTTTTGACACAAGAATACACTGTGCTCACTTTGACATCAATATTTGTTTTCTGATAAACTTGTTTACCAGCAGCATCCCCTCATCCAACTGGACTTCACTTACTTTCCTGTGAGGTTAACGGCCTTCACCTCCACATAGATCCTGGTTCGCAGTTGGAGTCCTACTGAAGGCATCACTAACGGGTGGATGTAGTCTGAGTCCTGGAGGAATAAGTTGTACAGTGAAACAAAAGAAGACCCACAGCTCTTGAATGCATTTAAATAAGTTGAAACCAGCTTGTATACTTACATTAAAAACAGCCATTTCTAGTGCATCAATGAAAGTTCCATTGTTATCGTTGGTCGCCACCGAGACAGAGGAGCTAGAAATTCACGGAAAAGGTCAAAATGTAATTTAAAATCTACTTGTCTAAACAATCGCACAAAGTACTTGTTCCTATAATTACTCACGCCACAATCTGTGTGTTGTTCATGAGGTACTCCAGTGGGTAGCTGCAAGAGAAATGATAGTAGAGGTCTGTGGCGTAACTGATCAGCCCCTGGTCGGATCTGGGTGTGTCAATGAAGCCTGTGATGATAACTGCCTGGATGTTTTGGAAGCTGGCGAAGGGGCCGTTGGGGTCCGGGGTCTTGTCCACAATCTGATCGAGATGAAAAAAGACACAAGTATCACATGGGTTTCTTATATATCATCCCTGTCAACATAATTCAGCATCTTCCTGACCTGCAGAGAATGGCGACAGGAGTTATCCAGACTGTGGTTGACAGGGAGATGGTAACGGATGACTGGGGGGGCCACACTGGTGTCGACAGAGCCCATACACTCTGTGTTGTTGTGGGCCCCATTCAGAGCCAGGTTTGTGGTGTTGAAGCCTGCCCACTGAGCTGTGCACAGGTTGATCTCCAGGGTTATCATGTTGGTTCCACAGTCGACCACCAAGTCTGAGCTGTCTGTGAAAGAGACAGAGAAACCCAAACCCTATGGTGAATATGGGTTAGGGTTGCAATTAGGGTTAGGGTTGCATTGAGGGTTAGGGTTAGGGTTAGGGATGAATACCCATTGGAGATGAAGATATTGTTCAATAACTTTCTTTCTGAACGTCATAGAGACTTGGAAGTTGGTTCTATCTCCACTAATGTGGCTATGCCCAATCCATTGGTACCATCCCCGAGCTTCCAAGACCTTTAGAAGGGTTAGGGTTGTGATTAGTGTTTGGTTTTTGGGTTGTAATTAGGGTTAGGGATGAAAACTCATTGGAGATCAAGATATTCTTCAATAACTTATTTTCTGAAGGTCATAGAGACTTGGAAGTTGGTTCCATCTCCACTAATGTGACTATGCCCGATCCATTGGGACCATCCCCGGGCTTCTACAACCTTCGGAAATTGTGAAACCACCAAATCTAAAAAAAAAGTACAAGATATTTTTGAATAACTTTTTTTCAAGTCATAGAGACTTGGGCGTTTCATGATTAAAGTGTAGAACTGCTTTCAGAAAAATGAATCCTCCTGTTGCTGCAATGAAGTGAGATTTAAAACATTTAAAACGCAGGAAAAAGTTACTAAAATTACTTACTTCTGGGGGGTTTTCTCTACGTTTCTGTTTTGATAACTTTATGTTATGTGTAAGTGATTGTGAAATAAATTAAGAGCCCCCCTCAAAATGGTGGTATATCCTTATAGATACATTTGAAAAATTTGTGCAGGATGCTTACATACAAGAAAATGATCAGACACAATGAAAATCATAGTGAACCCACCTGGTGTCCTTTCATACTCAGAGGAGCAGTTGTAGAGACAGAGAGCAGGATGCAGGAGTACAACCACCAGGGGGAGACAAAGATAAAGGGCCATGCTGATTGAAATTGGTCCTGTATTCATATGGAGAAAAAAATAATGACATCAACAATAAAAAACAATGACATTACACTTATATATAATTTATAAGTTAAGTTAGTGTAAATGCGCCAAAATGCTGGTGATGATTGAAAAAAAGATGATTTGGTTAATGTATGATTTTATGAGAGCCTGTCAGTATCAAATTATGTTATAAGTTTTTGTTTAGTTGATCTTTCAATTTTGCACAAATTCATAAAATAATGTGATTTAAAATCAGTGCATCATTTTAAACAGAGACCTGAAGAGCCACCTGAGGAGTGTCTTACCTTGCTGGTACCTGAGCAGCTGTTTGTCACAGATGTAGTCATGCAATGTGACTTATATACTTAGACAACCTCCAGACACATAAAACCATAGAGGTGGGACTCTCAAGTCTTCCCTGTAGCTAAATATAGACACACACACACAATTACTCACTTCTCCATTAGACAGCAGCAGCTCATGGCAGGGTTCAATGTCAAATCTTCACCTCCTCAATGTGTCAGTGGGCTTTGACACAGGCCTTAAAGGTAACTAATAACTGCAGTCTCACATTTCCTTTATTTAAGATCATTAAAGATGGTTGAGGCAAATGAGCATCAAACTTCATATTTATTGGTGATTAAACATGTTGCACATTGATGTCAGACACTGTCTTTTCTCATTAATGTTCTAAATATTGTCATACCTTGTACAGAATGTTAGGCCCTGAGGCAAATTAAGTGAATATGGGCTATACATAAAATATTTGATTTTTACTTGATTTAAAGTAAAAGTCCTTAAGCTCGAGTAAAATGTGAGTAAAACAATCAGAGAAAGAGAACTGATGGAAAACGTGCAGAATAAAAAACTGTTTATATGTTAATTCTGATGACACTGTATAACCAACCTTTTATTAATAGCCATGACACTGTGATGCAGACAAAATTAATTACAAATCATTTTTCAGAACTAAAACCGTACAAACTTTTCAGTCTAATAAGAGATGTGTATTTGTGCGTGTTGCACTGAATAGTGGAGTCATGTCTCGAGGATGATCCATCTTGAATAGATGAAAGGTGATCGTGTTTGCCATAAGCTATGAAGCACTCAGCCAACCAGGGGAAACCTTTGTTAATTTCCCTTGCATGACAAACATCTCCTCTACTGTCTCTGTACAGTTGCATCGCAGGTAGTCTACATAGCTAAAGGCCACAACTGTTACCACTCAACTGAGAAGCCCCCATTGTCCCTCAGAGCTGCAGAAAGAAAAGGAGCATCAGTGTTGTTCTCAAAGTGCCTGTGGTGAGAGAGGACATTTGTCACACTATCCCTGAATAAGATCTCTTCAATCCTCACATGCATCTGAGGAGTTAAGCCTGTTAAATCCTGTTTGGAAACATGCTGGCTGCCTTTTGTTTAGCTCTCTAATCACAGCCATTTTGTTTTCCGGTAATCCTTTTTCTCTGCAGGGACAGAGATAATTGCAAGTTATGTAAGAGTGGCTGGACATGATGTTCATATGTCCACCGGGTGATGGATCAGAATGAATATCAAATAACCCTTAAAGGTTCAGTGTGTAGAATTTAGTGATATCAAGTGTTGAAATTGCATGTTTCAGCTGAACACCCCTCACCTCACCCTCTCCTTCCAAACATGAAAAAGAACCTTTTGTAGCCTTCATTTGTCATAAAAACTTAAAAGGTGTTTTGTTTGTCCAGTCTAGACGACTGTAAAAAACATAGCGGCCTCCGTAGAGAGGACCCCCTCGATGTAAATATGAAGTATTTAAATATAAAGGGTCTTTTCTAGGGTAAGGGCAGCTAAATGAATTAATGGAAACATCATGAGGATTATTCTACATTAAATTTCTGCCAATAGTTCCCTTTCACCTAAATCTTACACACTGGACCTTTAAACACTTTTTAACCCTTAAAATATTTTCACTACCCAATGAAAATCATTTACCTGCAATTATAGTGATTTTGAAATACAAACGGAAGCATAACGTGTTCCTTTAAGTGGTGGCAAAATGTTCTGATGTTTTTTTTGTTTTTACCTTTATTTTGACCTCCACCAAGTATGTTATGTGTTCATCTGCTTTTGTTTTGTTAGTTAGAAAGATTATGAAAAAACTACTTGATGCATTAGAAACTTGGTGTTTTTTTGACAAATTTACTGATTTCAAAGGGAATAATTCATGGATCTTGATGAAAACAATTAGGGAACTGATATCTATGAGTGCAATTTGGTGCAGATTCATTGAATTTACGGGGACTGCTGGTCCTTGGCGGCGGTATGTGGTCTCCTGAGTGCTGTTTTAGATTTTAAAGCATTGTCCCAAAGCTGAAAACATGGCATGCATTTTTGATATGCATGGTTGTGATTGGATAGCATATAGAAGATGATGGCTATATGGACAGACTATAAATGCAATAGTACAGAACATGATATAAATTACTCATAGAGTCACCATTTTGGAGATTAAAGTCTTAAATTAGATAAACCAGATTACTGTTACCATGACAGCGTCCTGTGGTAAATTCTGATTAGAGAAAACCTTTACTGGTTCCTTTCACAAAGTGCAACAATAGCTACTGATACTCAATGACATTAGAAAACAATGAATACAAGGCCCAGGGGAGGAAACCGATTTAGTATTGGAGGAAAGAGGATACACTGGGAAACTGGTGAGGAGATGGTACTGTACTCTGGACATGTACAGTAAAGCAGATCGGCAGCTAATGACCCCTCAGGGGTGAATATCTCATAAACTAAGTGGTAAATATATTTCATGCAACAAATTCACTGAAGCAGTGTTTGTGTCTATTCTGCACAAGAAACTAGTGTCTGCAATTTTCATTTGTGCAGCAGTGATGAGCCAGTCACGTTTTCTCTTATGAGATAATGCTGTTATATTCTTGCTGGACACATTTAAATGACTAATAAGAATATAATATCAGTAACTGTCACTCAGTGGCAGAAAAAGCATTCAGATACTTGATTAAAAGTGCCGGCATTGCTATAAAATAACAAAATAATATTTTTTTACATTTTAATGACTCATATTGTGTTTTTGTGTTGTGGTTCTCCCTCCCTGCCTGGGGGTGGTGCTGTTCGCCCTGCTCTGTGTTTTCCCTGTGTCTGAGTTTCAGGTCTGGCAGGTGATTGGAGGATAACCTGATGGTGCTGACTTTAAAAAGTCACCTGCTGATACCACCTGGCCTTCGTCTTTTTCCTGCTGCTCCAAACACAAAACTCTTTCTGAAACTCGTCGAATCTGAATTGTTTTATGATCGCTGCTTTGTTAAGAGTGTTTTCTGTTCGTAACCTTTGAATGATCTTCTGGCCAGTCCTGACAATTGTAGGGAAGAGAAGCCTTGTTGTTTTTGTAACTCTTTTCTCCTGTTTTGTTTAGGGAGCCAGGTAAGATCCCTGTATATTCCATTTGTTTCTTTTGGATACAGGTGAGTTAGTTTTGTATTCTAGATTGTCTTATTTGTTATTTTGGCTGTGCTCTTCCTGACGTTTCGATTATACCTGATTTATAAAATAAATCACCTTTGTTTTGGACTGCAACATCTGCTGTGGTCACTTTTCATTTTGCAGTTGACCCTGCTTTAACTGACATATGACAAATACAACTTTAACATAAACTTGAACTACATGAATGAAAAATGATAAATGAAACATGTAAGTAACTTTTTATCTGGTAAGACCCCTTGAAATGGTTAACAGATTACTTTCAAATTATTGTGTTATGTAATAAATGGGAGGGAAAGGAGAAAAAGCTGCATTCTGCTAGTCAAACATTTTGGAACATTTGTTTAATTTCTGCATTTTGTGAAACTATACAAGAACTGCTAACATCTTAAAACAAGAGTAGGGGTCAGCTCTATAGACCAACTTCTAAAAACTTTTAAGCAGTCACCAAAGTCAAACAGATTGGTTAAAATGTTGTATTTTGTCAGTCATCTTCTTGAAGTCTCAATAACAAAATAAAATCAAAATAACCACGGGCTTCTGTCAGTTCAAAGTAGCACAGTAAACGCACAATACCTCCCTCTGAATTATATCTGAGTAGAAGTAAAGGGCAACATAAAGCAGAGGAACTGATATAGAGTATATAAGTACAGTTCTTGTTTCATGAGTGGTCTGGTGTCATCTGCTGGACAAACTCAGACACAGCTCAGTTCTCTCAGTGTAATAGACTCGTGATTCATAAACCAAGAGACACCACCTCCCCTGCAGTGAACACACAGCACAGTGAGACTCTTTGTTTATTGTTGTTGCAATAAAACAGGCATCAGTTCAAATGAAAATCACCAATTGCTCCAAGGATCCTGATTTTACTGAATAATGTTTTTATTGTCTTTATTCTTTTTTTTTAATTAAATGACCACATAGTTCATAGCTGATAAATATGCAAATAACGCACACAAAGTGAGACAAAGAGGAGGTAAAGAGATCCTTTTTTTTGTCAAATCCTCTGGTTACTCCTGGTGGAGATGTTTATCTGTTAAAAGGGATTTTAAAAAGTCTGCTCATGCAACAGTTCATACAGTTTTTCCAATGCTTATGCAACGTTACAAGATCCGTTATAACCTTTATATACAGTCTGTGGTTATAACAGAACAGCTGTATATACAGGCCAGCATTAAAATCTTTCTGAGAAATTATCTGTGGTGCACTTGTGTTTGATGCACACACAATCTCTGAGCCTGTTGCCCTGCAATAAAGATACTGATGATAGGAGAAAAGTTCAACAGGGGCAGTGTTCATGACACACAGTCACACCTCCTCATCACATGACAGACGTCTGCGTGCACCGGCCAATAATCAAATTAATTGTGGAGGCTTCGAAAGGAAAAAAATCATTCAAGGTAACACATGACAAACATCCAGAGGCGCCATCTAACAACAAGGCTCCTGCACGAAAAACCCTTTTGTTACCAGTGGAGACAGAAGCAGACAACACAGCTACACACAGAGAAAAAAAAAACAGCCTGTCCTCACTCAGCTCCCAGGAGAAGAGCAGTTCATTCTCTGCTTCCAAGGTCATCTGTTGATGGCTGTTATCAAATTCATGCAACAGAAGAGAAGGATAAACTGCAGATTAAAGCTTTTTATATTATTTTTTTACCTTAAAACAGCAGCTTCAAATGGTGATGCTTTCATTCCCATCATCAACCTGAGCGTCTGCTCTTGCTCTATATAATCTGACTGATAGTCGCTGCTTCAATTGTCAGAATCAGTCCCAGCAAGTTCAAGTGTAATGTTGAACTGTTGATCAGATAATAAACACTCAGAGGTCATTAAAACGTAGCTGCATGTCCAATATTCAGCCAGGAAACATGAAGAATTCTAAACAGAGTTTGGTGGAGTTGGCGCAGCAGCAGCTCTCTAAAAGCCTTGTAATTGCTCACACATGGAGCCCAACAGAATAATCTCATCTCATCCTTCCTGCAAATCTCCATCAAACATTTAACCTATCGTCACCATCATATTTTGTGTGGGGTTTTTTAGCCCTCTGTTTTTTACCATCATACATTTATATTCTTTTTGCTGAATGCTGTCTTTTTCTTCTTCCTCATTATTTTCTATATTTATACAAATCTGTCCATTTAAATGGTTCAGTGCTTAAATGGTTCAGTGCTGTGCTTACACACTGTGTTTTGATGTGTGCTTCTAACTGGGAGGTGTGTGAGGTGTAGTGGCAGTTCACTAGTCTGGTATATAGTGTGTGTGTGTTAGGTTGTTACCTCAATGTTTTCACCACTGTCTGTTTGTTGTTTGGTTGTTCTTTGTCTGGTTAGTCGGTTGTTGGTCGGTCAGTTGTTAGTCAGTCGGTTGTTGGTTGATGATTGGTTGTTGGCGGAGGTATGCACTCTCTTAGTGCCATATAGTTTATAAAGATACGTTAGTCATTTTTGATTTTGGTGAGTGTCTTAATCTTTTCTTAAATACTGTATTGATGCTGTACCTGTACTTCACTTTGGTGGGGAAACGTAAGGTGTTGTGGTTTAGGTGTGTAGTTTGGTGCCCTCTGGGTGAACTTCAAGTTTACTTTAAAAAAGGGTTAGCTGCTATTTGAACCTATTATAGTGCTGGAATGATGTCCAATAACCTTCCACAACATGAATTACAGTAAATATTACAATCAACCTCCTTTAAACGAGAGAAGCACTCCTTGAATTCAAACATGGTTGTACTTCCACAACACTTTAACAGCTCTGGAGTGCTGAAGACATTATTTTCTAAGGCAACAACAACAACAAACAGAACTTTTATTCAACCGCAAGTGAAGCAGGCGTCCACTCGTCCTGTCGGTGTCTCAGTCTCTCGTGGGATAATTTTAATTCTGGCGATTTTTCTGGATTAGGCAGCGTAAAATTAATTGTTTTTGTTGCAAGGCAAGTCAAGTTTAATTATGTAGCACCATTCAGACATAAGGCAACTTAAAGTGGTATGGAAATATATAAAAAACAAGACATTATAAAAGTTAACTACGTAATTAATCTTTATTCTTTAGGGCCAAAAACAATTATTTCGGTTGCGTAACTTAAACGACTGCTCCAAAATGTCAGCATCATTGGTTTTCTGGAAATTAAGCTGCAGCTCCTGGAAACCAACCCAAAGCAATGAACAGGAAGTATGGTTCTGAGAAAAAAATAATCTTTTCCCTTTCCTCCCTTCCTCCTCTGAATGTCTCTCCCTCTCTCTCTCTCTCTCTCTAACCCTCTCTATCTCCCACTCTGTCCCTATCTCTGTGTTGCCCTCCCTGTGTCTGTCATGGTGTTTTCACAGGGGCCTGAGTCAGTTTCCTTTCACAGACTCCTGCTTGTTTTTAATGAGATTTGAATAAATACACCAGACATGTGGTCAGCAAACTCAAGCTGCATCACATCACAGGAGCTCAGCAGACAAAGAAAAGGGAAAAGCTGACACGGGACGTTAAGAGTTTCTGCGCTCTCCTGCTTGGTTTTCTCCTCTGAGCCATTTTCCTCCCCAATCACCACCACTCTTCATTTTATTACAGGGACCATGATGCATCAGTGTATGCACAAAGCACTCGATTGAGCCCATTACAATGACATTACTAGATGTGAATGGGATTAAATGGGGACATGCTGCACATTGAATGCACAAAATCCTACTTCAGCTGCTGTTTTTTGTTTTGTTTTTTTGCATCTCAAAGGAATAGATGCAACTTTCTCTTTTAGCAAAAGAAAGATCTTGGACTATCTCACTCTTTATTTCTTTTTTCCTGTCTCATGTAGACTCCATGTGCACGCCTTCCACTAGTCGACCCACTTTTTTCTCTCCTCTCCTCTGCTGCCTCTGCTGGTTGTGATCTGATTTTTTCGTCTCCGCGCTGAAAGAAAAGTTCAGCTCCTGCAGAAGCAGCTCACTCTCTCCTTTCCTTTAACATTTCAACAGTGACCGTGCAGCTCATGTAGTGAACATGTAGAGATGGATTTTATGAAGCTGTTTGCCACCGTCGTCTTCGTTTTGTTCCAGCCTGGATCCGCTTCTAAAATAAATGGTAAGAAGGAATGTCGGAGGAGTGCGGTTTCAGACAGTTTCCTGTGTGTGTGTGTGTGTGTGTGTGTGTGTGT